GTTCCTCCCTCCCTCCCTCCCTCCCTCCACCTCTGCCGGGCTGTCAGCTCTCTCCTACCACGTAGCAGCTTCCTGGCAGCAGCCTGTCTCCTCTCTCCCAGCCACTCTGAACCAGCGGCTCATGTAGAACCACGTAGCAGCAGCAGGCTTTGGATTCTAACCAGCGGCAGCAGCGGCCGAACCGGACATGGACCTCTTTGAATTCGACTTTTTCAGGGACTGGGAGCTGGAGCAGCCGTGGTGAGTCCCGCACGCCGCTTTGTTTTGATTTTTGCTCCTGTGTTAACAGCCACGCATCTGTGCGTGTTCAGTGCTGAATGGGATGGGTGGAAAGAAAGCTGGAGGTCAGAACCCAGTTTGTGTTTTTCTATTTTCATTTATTTATTATTGTCTCTGTGAGGAGGCGGGGAAAGTGAGTGGACTAAAAGAAAAGAAAAAACGCCTTTGTTGTGTCACCGTCCGAGCTGCCGTTGTTACCGGCGGAGGCACGCGCGTTCAGCTGAGGGCTCCGCTCCTCGCGGCGCCTTTGTGACATCAGAGATGCAGAGAGAGCGATGAATGAAAAGGGCAGCGCATCATCCAAGTTAGTCAGCTGTTGGTGATCAGTTCTGCCCTTCACTAATTAATAGTGATAATGCTGCGGTCAGGTTAGTGTCTGATTAGTGAGTTGCTGCACCACAGGTGTTGTTGTGATTTATGGGATGTTCTCTGTTCCACGCGCGGCCGTGAAGGCTTAATGACAGAGCAGGGATGATTTATGGGATGTCCATGTGTTGCTTATCAATCACTGTTAGGCTTTTATTTAATACCTACATTAGATTGACTTTATCTGCATCAGGGTGAGCCTAAAATCACCTTTTCACTGTCGGTGAGATTCACAATAAAACGGCCCAGTTTTTAAAGAATACTGTTTAAAAAAACAACAGAGTCCCAGAGGTTCTCTATCCACGATTAAATTGTCAAAGTTAACTGTAATTTCAGACTTTAAAGTCCATTAACTACTCAAACAACTATAGGAAGTAGGAAAGGAATAAATGAAGGAAAAAATATGAAAAAAATGAATGTGGAAAGAGAATGATGAAGGCGCAGGAGAAAGAAGGAATTAAAGAAAAGATTTTTAAAATTAGGAAAGAAATGAAAAGAAGAGAGAAAGGGAACTTTAAAAAGTACAGAAAGAAAGACAGAAAGAAAAGATAAATTGGATCAATGAAGTATAGATAAAGGAATCACAGAGGAAGGAAGGAAGGAAGAAAGGAAGGAAGGAAGGAAGGTTCTAAGGGAGGGAAAGAAAAGAAGGACAAAGGGAAAAAAAAACAAAATTAAAAAAATGTAGACATGACATAAGGGAAGAAAGCAGGACAAAAGAAAAAGAAAGAAGGAAAAAATACACGGGGGCAAGAAAGGGAATAAGGAACAACAAAGAAAGGAAAAGAAATCAAGAAAAGAGGGTGAAAGGAGGAAGGATTTAGAGGACCGAAAGAATATAAGGAAGACGGATAATAAAATGTAAGAAAAAATATGGAAATAGGGGAAGAAAGGAAAGAAATAAACAAATGGAGAAAGCAGAAAAAGAGAAAAAAGGGAAAAGAAGAAATAAACAAGGAAGGATGGAAGGAACTAAGGAAGAAAGGAAAGAAGGAAGGACACAACACTTAAATGAAAGAATACTGAATCAAGTCTGTAAATATATTCATTATTCCATCTTCCCCACCATACTAACTCAGATGTAGAAAAACAGAAATCAGATTCTAGACTCTGCTGTTTTCCTCCATGAACATGAGCTGATAAATAGATGTCCATTGCATAGATTCTAGATGGAAGCTGTGAACTTCTAGACAGCATCAGTCAGGGCCTCATCTGTTCCGCTCCTCTGCGGTTCGCCATCGCTTTATGCTACGCTGCTCAGCGGAGTCATTTTGTGCACAGCGGAGGACATGAGAACAAAGACCCACATGGAGAGAAGAGCTTTTCTTTAAACACTCAGGAGGCCAGAATCTGCTGCAGCTTCACAGACGTTTCAAAGGTCTGAGGCGTTGAACGCATCTCTGATTCTCTGCAGGATCGTCCTCCTGGGTGCAGCAGGATGATCAGCCGTTACCTGTTCCAACACTGTCAGCTTTTGTCACATCTTCAATATTTCAATCTTATCTTATTGAGAATATATTAAATATTACAGTTGAAACGTCCATCAGGTGGTGCTAAGTTTACAGCATTGACACGGTTTCACATCTGCTGATCATCAATCAATGAATGCACCTCTACATTTCACAGACCATCTTTATCTGGTTC